CAATAATAATTATACTAACAATTTATCGACATTTTGCAAAACAATTGCACACGTCTTTGTGATGGCAATATTAAAATTTCATATATTAGTATTTAATCTTTCAATGCAAAATTAAAAGAAAAAGTGATTCAGATATGCAAGCTGCTAAACGCAATAAATAGCAAAATAATATGTTTTTATTAACTGTTAATTAATTTTACTTCGAACCATTTCAACATGTTAAATATCATGTTAAATATCACAAAATTTTTCATTTTTATATTTTATTAATTAACAATTATACAAATTGTTAATTAATTGAATATAAATTGACTAAATAAAAAATTTTGTGATATTTAACATGCTGAAATGCATGTTTGTTCGCTGGTTCGAAGTAAATGGCAATTATTCACGACGATGCGTCAGTAGACGATAGAATGTGAACGTGCAATTCCTATTTGGAAAGCAAAGTATCTCCTCGAGGACGCGTGTTTGCGACGTTAATGTAAATACGATAGAATGTGTTTCTTGAAGGCGTGGGCGTTCAAAACGAAAAAACCAAATGTGCTTCAATAGTATTTTGTCGATCGTGTCATTCGCTTTCGCACTTAAGACCGAACTGCAGTTCAGCTTATGATAGCTGCTGCAATCTAAAATTAACTACCGTCGTTATAAATAATAGTTAGATAGAAGAGTAGTTAATAGAAGAGTACGGATCACGCCAATTCAGCACAATCGACTCACACTAATTGCACTGCATCTACATGCATGCGCATACATCTACGCAAACATATGATCAACGAAACAACTTTCGATAAGGAAAGTGCGAAATTAAGAATTGGAATATTTTACGTAAAAAAAAAACTATACCGGGAAAACAAAAGTTTCTAACAGATTTACTTATTTAACTCCCGCCCAAGTATTGAAAACATTCGGACTCATCTGCGCAGACTGTTTATGTCACAGTCGTGGTCGTTTTATTTGCATCGCTCGATGCAAAACGCTTCTGCGATTCAAGTTTGTGTGCGTCTTCTAAGGCGTAAAAGCAAAATTCTGCGGTAGGTCTGAAAAAACCATCAGCGTTAAGATAATTCGAAAGTTAAACCGTATTTCATCTGTTGAATACAATTATTTTAAGATTTCATAAAAAGAATGAAAAGCGAAACCCAGTCACGTCGTTGGTTTGTTCTTTTACTTTTTTGCATAGAAACTTATCGTGCAAATATTTTCGAACTCAGCATAAATAATCAGTATTATGCTCGCTCAGCTGGTAAGCTATAATTCTTTCAGCTTGCAGATTTATTTTTCTTCTTTTGCTTTTTAACCTCCCGTTCAAGCCTATTGTTCCCGTTAATTCACCATTTCAATTCTCCTACATCATTTCTGTACCTGAACGCAATGCGTTCAGGTAGCTACGCTAAAGTGGCCTGTTATGCTACTCGAAAATACTGAGATTTATCGGACTTCTTATACATCAAGCTGATTCCCAGTTGCACTGGACCCGCCGGCAATTTGGGATTTAAAGGGAGGGGCTGACCACCTGCGCTTGCTTCGCCTCGGAGCGAGTAACTCTACCTGACTCGAAGTCCGCCGAAGAACCGCCGAGTTATCTTTTAAGAATCAAACAAAGACTCCAGATGGAACTCGCGCGCCCTATACTTTAGCTTCCGCTTCGTAAATTCACGTTCACACGTAAATATACATACGTTTGTATGTTTGTCCGTTTTACATTCGTTCTTTCTCTAGATACATCTCACCGACGGGTGTAACGGGTCGATGATACTTTTCTTTTCTTTAGTCCCGTCGACAAAAAAAACCGCTCCATATGTCGTTGGAAGGAAGCAAAATGGAATTTCACAAACACCTCGTTTCCTGAACATCTTCCAATTTATCTCAATAAAACATAAAATGCTAAAAATGGTTGACAAGGTTAACTCAAATGTCCTATTGGCGTAGATGTCAAGCATAAAAATGACTGATTCGTTGTGAAAGATCAAAATTTAGAGTGACATTCCAAAAGATTCTAATCTTGTCCTTCGCTCGATCACGATTCAGTACAAAAAAAATCACTGTGTAATATAAACGAATATCGATGAGCTTTCAAGAACTCGCACGTAGCTGTGATTACTCAGGTTACCAAGTGAGATAAATGGGAAGAGTCGGTGTAAAATAACTCTATTGTTATCTAGATGTAAAGAACGTAATCTCGAGTGACTATTGCGTAGTGCATTCGTCACACGTGTTATAAGTTTCAAGAAACTTACACTGACAAAAATGTTCTGTTACGAGCTTGTAATCGAACAGATGTGGAATCTACCAGACTGTTGTTGCATTAATAGGAATTCTGGTAGATTCAACCAGAATCTGTTTCAAAATTGAACGGACGGTTTGTTGAATCAAGCGGAACATTTTTCTCAGTGCAGTAACGTGACTTTTTTCCAAATGTATAAGTTTGCTCCGATTTCGATTGCAATTCTAATACCGTCGCGACATCGAGAATTCCTCGGAAACCGGTCTGCGCGTTTCCAACGCGGAAAATAATTCGCCGATTTCCATACTGACGTATGTCTTACGTAGGAGGTGCGCGTTATAACTATTTCTCGTTCTCTTCGCATTCGCAATTCCGCGCCAAGAAATTATTTACGCGGAAATTGCTTACGTATAAAAACAACACGATTCTCGCGTAAATCCCACTCCGGAAATTAATGCACAATCGTCAATCTATCTCTGTAGAGTCGAATCGACCGGGAAGACAAAAAAAAAAAACACGATGTAAATAAGCCTGTCTGATATGGCCGTATCGGGCGATAACAATGTGGGTCTTAAAGTGGGGTCGCATTTAAAAATTATATTATCGTCTATTATTAATAAAAACTTTTGCATCGGTATGCATTGTGTATACATACATTGTCTCGCAAATTATCAAATCTCATATTTATCCTGTTGAATAACCGACAATAAAGCAACTTGCGCTACAATTTTTGTGTTAAACCAAAAAATAATGCGTGTGTGCTTATTTGAAGATTCTTATTCACTTTATAAATTTCTAGTTACACATTTGCGATTATGACAATACTTTGTCGAATAGGCTTTTTGGCAAATGTGACGCAATAGAATCTCGCGAGTCAGCAACAGCGAGCCAGCGATCAATAAGAACCGATATTGAGTGATAAAAGCAATTCTGACTTATTCGATCTTCGTACTTAAGTCGAGTCACCCCCTGATAAAAAAATACGTGACTGATAAGATGTATATTGATTAAATACACTTAAAACACGAGCAACTTGTTTGCTATAATATAAAATGCTATAATATAAAATCGTGAATGAGTTAAGTTGGAAGTTTATGAGGTGAAAATTAAAATTTTCCATGTAGCATACTATGTCAAATTTCGGAATCATGTTTTAAAAACATAATCGTACATCGCATTACTTTGCTGACGATAATTGAGCGATTGTGCAATATTGCATTTTCAATAATAATTGCTCAATACTAATAATAATATCTCTGACAGGATATTTCCATCTTCGATGTTCTTGATACTTCTTGATACCGATTCTGTAATTATCGAATAACCAGAACGCGCATGTTTCCATCTCCATCTATCAAAAAGTTTGTACTGAATGCGATCTATTCATATACGTGCCAGAAGTCTGCAAATCGTCACAGTTATCTAACGTCAGCGACCGTAGGTGGGGCGGTAACGTGAATAGCGTTGCACCGGGTGCAGCAACGATCCATTAAAATCTTTACCACGAACGGAGCGGAGTTTGGGTTTTGTCCCTCGAGTCTGTCAGTTTCTTTTGAAGATCGTCTCAACAAAGGTACATTTCTTGCGGACAATATGAAATCTCGATTATCCAAACTCTACTTTATCAAATACTCGAATTGTCAATAATTTTATATTTGTGTGGAATCTAAAAATAAAATGCATTATGCATAAAAAAATCAACTATGCATTTCGATTTCGACCATAAACAAAATATTCAATTAAACGTTAAATTGTTCGAATGACATAATGTGCAATAATGTAAACAGTATTATTTTACTGTATTTAAAATTCATCTATTTTTTTCATTAAAAAATAAATTTCGAATAATAAACAAGCTAACAATAAAATAGTAGAATTAAAATCCCGTTTTTGTGTTTTTATAGAAAAGTAAAAAAAATATATGTAATTTGACAAAAAAAATCTTAGAAGTGACGAAAGGAAGTATCGTGAAAATAATTTGTATTATTTCGTTGCAACCGCTATGCTTCCACTCTTGAATTTTGATACGCTATCACGCGACGTGATACTCCAACATAACAACAATAACTCGATCTTTTGAAACTTCGATACAGATTCTTGAGGAGTGAATAAGTGTATTTGTGACGCCATAAATCGATCAATAATGCAGTGATATAAAATAATAAATTTTACCAATATTTTTCAATTTTTGATAAATTACTCCCGTTGCTTCCTATTCAGTAACGTTTTGAAGTCTAACAAAACAATGTTTGCCTTGAAGAACAGGCTGCTCGCCAGATGTTACTAGAGAAAGGGCGAGAAAAAATCTCATATTACTCATATACGGTGACATAAAGGTAGCGCACTTCCTCTATTGACCGTAGATTTTAAAGAAAATATTAAGAGAAATAATTATTTAGTTATATATTGAAGACGAGAAAAGAATAACCCGATAGATTTAAAAAAAAAACTAAAATTTTTTAATGTACAAATAATTTAAACTAAAATTAATTATAATATTTATACTTCAAAATTCATATGAAAATAAATAATATAAATAAAAGATTAGTGAACAATCACTAATCTTTTATTATGCGGAAAAACCAAAACATAATTATAGTTATATAAATGTAATGGACGACTGTAATGGCAAAACTATCACTATCGATATTTACATCTTCAGACATACGCCAGAAAGCTACTGACGTAGACATTTTGATGTGTAATCCGAGCGTGAGTAAATCCCCTAAGACTTCCTTGTTATCTAATAACAAAATTCGATTATTTTCAGGATAAACAGCAAGATGGAAGTCATGGCAGCTCGGCTGCTGACCATCTTCCTGACAGCCATTGCTGTCGCAGCCGCCGTTCCCACGACTTCATACTCTACTACGGAAAGTCCTATTTCTTCTACATTCGCAAGCCAAGTAAATGCAACAACTGCCGCAAATCTAAACCCAACACCGAGCGACAAATTATTAGACTACGCTAGGCCTTTCGCGAATGTGAAAGACATATTGATGCAAGAAATTCACGATTTAGATAAAGACGCTCCAGATGCCAAGGTTAGTGCAAGTTTTACATAAAGAACATAGTATTCTTTAACAATTTAAGTCCTCTAATAAAATATAATGGAATCATACAGTCAACGCATTCACATCAAAGAAAACTCAATTTCGTACGAATTTACGAAGTTAAATTTGCGTAACAATAATTAATATTATATTATTAGGTCCTTGAATAAGTTCTCGCTGTTTCTTAAAAGATGGCGTAGCGGCACTCTGTGCATGGAATTTCGTACGGAAACGCATCAGCTAAGTAGTACTATATGTAACCTCAAATTCTAGTAGATACAGTTTACCACAGTGTCAACCACGTGTTTAATTACCTATTGCGAAAATGTCTACTTTTGTGCCAAATAAAGTGTTTTTGCGGGGTAATTTTATTGCACTGCTTTATTCAAAAAAAATCTGCAGCTGAAGCACACAGAATTCTTGTTGAAACATATGGTGACAATGCTCTGTCGAATACGACATGCAGAGACTGGTTTAGGCGCTTTAAAAATAATGACTTTGACCTTGAAGATAAAGAACGTTCTGGAGCACCGACAAAGTTTGAAGACGAAGAAACCTAATGAAACTATCACGGGAGCTCGCTATCGACTTCAGATGATGCGTCTGAGTCGAGCTCTAAAAGAAAAGCGGCCACTATACGGGCAGAGACACGACAAAGTCATTTTGTTACATGACAATGCTCGGCCACATGTGGCAAAACCAGTCAAAACTTACCTGGAAACGCTTCAATGGGAAGTTCTACCTCACCCGCCGTATTCACCGGACATAGCCCCCTCGGATTACCACTTGTTTCGGTCGATGGCGCATGGTTTGAGCGAGCAGCGCTTCCATTCTTTCGAAGAAACCGAAAAATGGGTCGATTCATGGATTGCGTCAAAAGATGAATCGTTTTTTCGACGGGGGATTCAATTACTGCCAGAAAGATGGGAGAAAGTGGTCTCTAATGATGGACAATACTTTGAGTAAAGTTATTGTAAGCCTTATATTTTAAATTAATGTTTTTTTTTAACAAAAAAAACAGCGAGAACTTATTCAAGGTCCT